GTAAAAAAATTCTGAGCAGGTCTGCACCTGAAGAACGGTTGGAAGGTGGAGGTTAGTTACACGGGTACCTCGAAGCATCAAAGTATGTTACGGAAGGGAGAATGTTAAAACAGCCTGCTAAAACGTCAACGAGTTAAAAGAAACGATAGTTTGCTCATACACAAAACAAAAGAACAAATCCGTAAAGACACTATAGTATTACACAAAGAGGTTGATGTGAACTTTATAGGGAGTACTGATTATTGTAAACAAAACGACTGGTTAAAGGAAATCACTTTGAGTTAATCATGCGTATTTTCAATTGATCGGTGTTCACAGTTATCGTGGCATAATGCAGCCGAAGAACAGTGCCCCGTGAGGAAAAGCTTTGATAAATCAGTTTTGGTTCGAGTCACCCAGAGTCGACTGTAAGTGATCAGACAGAAAAAAAAAAAGTGGTAAACCTTTTTCCCCTTGGCGTAAACATTGCGCTGGGATCAAAGGACAAAAGAAGCATAACCATCTACAAGAACTGGGCCCGGTGGTAGGAGAACAGTTACCAATATAACAAAATCGAGGAGTCAAATCGAGGAGTCATATAAAAATTGTTCGAGAGTTCCACCAAAGTAGACTGAATACCTCAGCATTCGGCAAGGCCACAAATAGGGCTACTTCAGTTTGCGACAGTATTTAAAAACGTTTTTACGTTTCTCACCTTGTAACGTAATAGTATTTTTTCTAAACTCAGTCAATACTAAAACTTAAGAACAACCTTCGTTCATCGAAGCCTCGTAGATAAGATCACTTTCTCGGCATGGAAATAACCGCAGTAGTTGGATTGAGAGGTTGGTGAAGGGATGCATCGCAAAACTTTCGAATTCTTCCACTCACAAACGGAGGTCTTAAACATATATGTGGTCGAATGCTGCACTTTAAGCGTCGTTGCTTTTAGAAAAGAGGTTGCCCCGGCTACAAGGAGTTCGAGACGCATCTGCTTTGCATTCTCAGAAGTAGACTGTTGTTTCTATCAATAGGATCTTTTCTTCGATTGGACAGCAGTCCTACTATGTACAACAACACTCTTCATCGCTTTGAGCTATTCCTGGCCTGACACTCACCAGATATACTGCGTTCCAGTTTCACTATCGTGTTGCTGTTTCGCTTAAAAAAATGACGAAACAACTTTCCGGATTGTTATTAATCTGTAAGGTTTTTTCATAATTTGCCCATGTAAATGTCTCGATAGGCTTAGAAAAATATTTTTATATATTCTCCCCACGAGTAAAACCATCTCTGTCGTATCATTTATTTCTTAAACCTCTTTGAGCAAAAATCGATAAAAATTAATTCTTAGATCCTACCTTAAATTGCTTATTTATCCGGGTCCACATCGCTTTTGAAGAACGAAGTGTCACCACTGCCCCAGAAGTGACCGACTTTGATAGCACAAAACATTTTATTTTCATTATCAATGAGCAGAAGGGATCGAAAACAAGCCATTCAAGGACACAGTGCCTTTAATTATGACGTAATATGGCTGCCCTATAAAGTGTAGAGAAAAAAAACACGTGCCTGCAAAGCTAACGCCTTGAGATTGAGTTTCATCTCAAAGACAAAAGATTCAATCTCTATTGCTGAGTTCAAATTCTCAAAAGTTATACATTTCCATTGCTAGAACTGATGTGTTTCTTATTCAGTAAGGGTAGCTGAATCATGATCCAATCAGAAGCCATACTAAGTATGACGTCAGTACACCTCCGGAAAAAAACACTGCAGAGAGTGCCGGAGTTCGAGTATGACGTAAATCATAACAAACAGTTCTTTTCTAAACAACAATAACTTGAAGTAAAACGCCACGATCATCTTTAGGCGTTTTGAGGCAACAAAAAAAAGATCTCTGGAAGAAGAAATGTACCAAACATCTACTTAAAATTTAGCAAAATGTTTCGGTTACTTATATTAAAGAACTGCGATCACATTACCTTTCTCCCGGGTCTTTTAGAAATGTTTTCTCGTAATTCACAGAATTAAAAGCGAAACACGGAAAAAAATAACATCGCCAAATTGAAAAATGACTATTTTTGCTGCCAGTTCATGGAAAGTTTTCAACCTCGGTCTTTAGATTGCGAAGACGTCATGACAAGATGACGTCAACGGCTAAGCCGTATGACGCATTTCATTCGATCATGGAAAATCCTTGCGCGCAAAACAAGGTAATAGACTGAGTCAAAGGATTTGCCGCTCAACCAAAACTTTTTTGGAGACTAAAACACGTTTGTAAACTCTTAATCTAATGAATCCATAATTTTTATTAATTGGTGGAATTGGTTGGCAATACAAAGCTATATTCACAAATTAGAATTAGCTATATTCACAAATTATTCACAAATTAGAATATAGAATATATTCTATATTCACAAATTTCGAATTGTCATGTCACTCGATATCGCACCGAAGAGGTCTATAAAGTTGTTATTTTCTTCTAAGGGCCTATCTTTCCATCACAAAAACCGACAAACAAACAAACGAGACTACATTATTCATGAATTCAATGCCATAAGTGAAAACACGAAAGATTCCGACATTGCATGTGAGGGAAACATGCCAGCCAAAGTATACCGCGATTGAAAGGTTACCCGTGTTGCCGGAAATACAACATGGTAGTTGACTCGCCCATGCTATCATTTCAGAAAAGGAAAATCCTTTACTGTAGCGCGACTAAGGCTGTTTTCACGGTAAATTAATCTCTACAAACTAAATAAAAATCAAATTTTAGTGCGCAGTTTTCAGTCATTTCTATAATAGGGTTGACCTATTGCTAAGTCTGGACGTTTGTGTGTCGTTGATTTTACCATAAGTTTTTGCTTTATAGCTGGTGGCGTGTTTTTTTTTTTTTCTTGGTTGTTTTTTTTTTTTGTGCTGAACACAACCAAATATTAATCCGTCAGCAACATGACAAGAAGGATAGATCCACTTTCCCTCACCAAGAGACTCCATCAAAATTCGTTGTTTTTTTAAACGTGTTGTATGGCAGCAAAATTGTCACTTTGATTTTTAATGCTGGTAAAATCAAGATCATGTAGCGCGACCAGTCATCCTTGGGGATGTTAAGACAGACCCCTGTTTTATTAAATCATAATGTGTTGTTTTCATCCTTACTATAACTCAAAACAAATACTATGTACACAGTTCAACTACTCTCTTATTTAGGAAAATGAATTCATACTTCCAACTTTTCATCTTTTTGATGTTCCATTTTGAGCAGATATCTGCATTTTGGTGAGATCGCTCTCTATTTCTGAATCCATCTTTATCCATTGTGAATGCTGACAACGTCACGCTAAACAGCCCTTCACTTACCAAAACAGATAAAAAATTGTACTTTGACGTCGAGATAAAATTAATTAAAAAAAGAATCATATGTAAACTTTGGCGTTGATGGAAGTCAGTTCAAAGCCATCCACGCTTTGTGGTTTTAATTAACTGTCATCGGCTGAACAAGTTTTGCAAATTTCGCCAGCTTTACAAGCAAATAACAAGTTTTCGTAACATAGGAAAGCGTTGGCCCAGTCTTTTGACCCAACAGAACTGGAGACACAGGTTTCTAAGATTATAATTTGAGTCGACAACGTGATATCCATTTTTCCAATTTCTCCGACACCCTCGAATCAATATTTACCAAGTAGAGCCTTAATAATTTTCACGAAAAGTTGTGGCTTCAGTTTTATTATTTCAAACAATTAAGCCATTACCTCTAGCATAGAATCAACAACAAAAGTTACGATGTAGAGCTATTTTTCCTTCATTTTTCAGTTGATAAAACGTCGTTGGGCTCTCAAAAGCGGGAACTTCGGACCACACACATCCCCCAACAACTAAGTCGATCTTATCTCCGAAGATATTTACACAAGTGCCTTTAACAAAGAATGCCTTTAAGTTCTCCATCAAAAACAGCTAGCCTCTGAGCCAATAAGAAGAGGCCTCCGCAAGTAAACAGACGAAATGTGACTGCGACGAGGGCATCTGGTAGATAATTCTCTTTAAGGGTCTTATTTCAGCGCGACAACTGAGTCCATTCTACTGTTCTTTACTTCCCGTTTGGTATAGTGATTTGACACGGTAAGTACAGCAAAAATACGATTTAGAAATGTTTTCATCATGTTAGCCTTTTGAATGGCCAATATATCTTTTCCGGGAGATCTAACTTTAGCGGCCTCGCAATAATTCCAAGTATTAGAGCACATCCTCCCGCCAGTTGAACATTGGAGGAAGAAAATGACAACACGAAACTAAACCGTGAACCTTGGATTATTCGCTTGTTCGCTTTGGCATGAATTCAATGAGTTACAATACCTGGATATTTGACTTGTGAGCTAAACATCATATTGTTATCAATCAATAGCCAGTATTATTTCTCTTGCATTGGTTTCAACCAATACCAAGCTAAAGAGACCAAAGAAGCGTTGGAGACTGCTTATAACACGACGACTAGGGCTAAGTAAGTTTTTCGACGCAGTTTTAATTCTAAAAGTTTAGGAAAAGCTAGGTTTATAACTTCAAACTGTTGTGACGGTTAAACACAACTTTTATCCACGCTGAGTGCAGTTGAGCACTGAGTCGACGTTTTCGTCGAGTTTTAATAAAGTTTCTATTTTTGAATTTAATTTGAGCGTAAGGTGTATTTACAGATGTATTGAAAGCATAAAACTGTTTATTTTTGTCCCATTCAGCAGACAAGGAGGAAGTTTAATAAAACGAGATAGAAAAGACACAAAATCATGAATCCATCAAATGATTGACATTTTCATCAATCCTTTGTGACAACAAAGGAAAGTCAATTAAAATTTAAAGTTGTAAAAAATTCTCCTGTGATCGGCCGGGATAACTGCTGAAAATTTAATTCAACGTTTGAAAGTTCTACCGGTTCTAAGATCAAAACAGAAGCTAGCTTCCCTGAGTATTTTTCAGATCTTTCTCTCACACGTGAGGGAAATATATTTCAATCTGATTGCCAATTAATTTAACTCAATTTTAAAATCACAATTCTCATTCTCTTGATGCATTACTTTTTGTAATAAAATCTGAGCCATATCATTTTACGTTTAGCATTCAGTTATGATCAATAAAGGGTGTGCTGAATTTTGGTTGCATTGACTGCAAAAATTACTATCTTAAAAACTAGTTTGTTTAATTTTGAGGATCTTGCGGCTACTATTAAAATGAAACACTTTCCATTCTGATCTGATCACAAGACGACTCACGATGAACATTCGTTTTCACTCTACCGCTCGCCAAGTTACACCTTAGTTNTAAGGGGTTCCCGCTTTTAGACTTCGACTTTTCATTCCTTTTTATCTTACTTGAATTAGTTAAAGACTTAACTTAAGACTTAAACAAGTTTTTACAGTCATACAGAAGAAAACACTTAAGTATCCCAGAAATGTAGCTGCTCACCAGCAATAGGAAGCCTTGCTTATGCAAACATGACAAAATATCTTGGTCGAATAGGGCTCAAAACGTCTTAAATGCAGACCGACTGTCGGATATGGCTGTCTTGACTATTAGCTGTTTCGATCATTTTTCACTTTTTTGCTTTTTGGCACTAATCTATAAGCATGGAGAAAGTTTCAGCATTACTTAGCGGTGAAGTCCTTTTGTCTTGGCATACAGAATGGCTGCCTCAACATCATTTCTAATGCTCGTCACACTTGTACAAGTCATTCAAAGCTTTTACACCAGCGACGAATTTCGTTCATCATACTTAAGTATTTGGGATGACCATATGTTACAAGGTCACGCGATGGCAGTGCACTCAGTGAGCGGAATCACATCATGTGCACAAGGCTGCTTGTCGAAACCAGGATGTCTTTCCTTTAACTTTGGGAAAAACTCAAACCTCTGCGAGCTGAATAACTCGTCCTCGCAACTACTGAAAGACCTCGTGTCGAAAGCTGGCTTTCTTTACGGCAACTGGATAACAGTGCACAACATGCAGTTCATTTTTACAACTCTAGGCGCACAAGGACCAACCGGGCCAACAAACACAACTGAATACTTAGGCGCGATGCTAGAGGGTCAAATCAAACTCAACAATGGTATTCAAGAATGGACAGTTCCGCATACAGGAACGTATTATATCGAGGCTTTCGGGGCTTCGGGAGCAAATGGAACATGTGACTCATGTTCGGGGTGGAGACTTGGAGGACTAGGTGCAAAAATCACCGGCTCCTTTGAACTCAAGCGAGGCCAGAAGTTAAAGATATTAGTGGGACAGAAAGGGCAAGTAAGTCGCAAAAATAATAAAGCCCCCGGGGGAGGTGGCGGGGGCACTTTTGTTACATTCATGGACAATTCACCATTGGTCGTAGCAGGTGGAGGAGGGGGAGCCCCAGTTTCAACTCCTGGAAATCCAAACGGGGACCCTGGGCAAGCAGGTCAGAATGGAACGCGGCATGGAGGTAGGGCTGGCTCAGGGGGAAGACTTTCGCTTCCGGGCTTGATGGCGGGAACTGGAGCAGGGATCTGGGGAGATGGTGAAGGTAAGGACGGGAAGGCCCTGAGCTTCCAAAACGGAGGAATCAGTGCTGACGTAGACTTCTCAAAGGGAGGATTCGGCGGAGGGGGTTATGGTATGCTCCTTCCTGGAGGAGGAGGTGGATATTCCGGTGGAGGAGTTGAGGGAAACTAACTCATTTAATTATCTTTTAGGGACACAGAATGCTTGATCTATTTCCAGTTTTGATCTTCGTACTCGCACCAATCATTCAGTGTTACAGCACCGACAAAAACTACCGTTCTTCATATCTAACTATCTGGGATGATAAAGTTCTATTAGGTCACGTTATGACAGTTCGCTATGCTGATGAAATCACTTCATGTGCACACGACTGTTTGTTAAAACCAGGATGTCAATCTTTTAACTTTGGCAAAGACTCCAACCTTTGCGAGCTGAATAATTCGTCATCACAAGTCAAAGACTTAGAGTCGAAAAATAGCTTTCTACACGGCAGCTGGATAACAGTGCCCATCATCAAGTTTGTTTTCACTGCGCTAGGCGCAGCAGGACCGACTGGACCAACGAGCCAATCTGAGTACTTAGGCACGATACTGGAGGGTCTAGTCAAACTCAACAATGGAATTCAAGAATGGACAGTTCCTCACACAGGAATTTATAACATCGAGGCTTTCGGCGCCTCAGGTGCAAATGGGACATGTATTTCGTGTTCAGGATGGAGACTTGGAGGACTAGGCGCAAAAATCACCGGCTCCTTTGAACTCAAGCGAGGCCAGAAGTTAAAAATATTAGTGGGACAGAAAGGGCAAGTAAGTCGTAAAAACAACGAAGCCCCCGGGGGAGGTGGCGGGGGCACTTTTGTTACATTCATGGACAATTCGCCACTGGTCGTAGCAGGTGGAGGGGGGGGAGCACCAGTTTCAATCCCTGGGAATCCAGACGGGGACCCTGGGCAAGCAGGTCAGAATGGAACGCGGCATGGAGGTAGGGCTGGCTTAGGGGGAAGACTTTCGGCTCCGGAGTTGAAGGCGGGAACTGGAGCAGGGATCTGGGGAGATGGTGAAGGTGAGGATGGGAAGGCCCTGAGCTTCCAAAACGGAGGAATCAGTGCTGACGTAGACTTCTCAAAGGGAGGATTCGGCGGAGGGGGTTATGGTATGCTCCTTCCTGGAGGAGGAGGTGGATATTCCGGTGGAGGAGTTGAGGGAAACTTTCCATCCTCTGGAACTGCGGGTGGTGGAGGCTCCATAAACAACGGCACATCTCAGA